CTTGACTTTCTTACTTTTATTGTGATAGTATTTTCTCACACTAAATCCCACTGAACCTCTATATTTGTTATAAAACTCATAAGCATCTTCATCCGAGTCAAACTGCATATCAACACTTGGAATGTTCACAATTTCATTAACCACAACGGACTCCATTATAGATGTTAGTACCTATAAAAAAAATGGACTAACTATTGTATCAACACTAAAACAAGCTTCAATGTATTTTTTTTTTTTAACAGTATGTTACATAGAGAAGGTGAAAATGAGGTTCGAACCCACGATCAATATAAATTAACAACAAACCAAAACATCACAATTAAATTATATCATAAAATTTAATAATGATCAAAGAAATCAACAAAACAATCAAAGATTCAAAATTTTAAAATTTAAATTTAGGTCAAGAAAAATTCAACTAATAAAAATGTAAATTTGTGGGTGTGTATGTATATTCATATATATATATATATACACATGTGTGTGTGTGTGTGTTGATACATATCCATTTAAAATATTCGAAATGGATATAAAAATACCTGAAATGGACGAAGGGGACGAATCGCAAAACTCAATAAACAAATATTGGTTTGTTTCTTGTAAATAAACAAAGCATCGCAGCAATATGTTCACAAGCAAGACTGGAACTAGATTGATTTTTGGTTCAGCGGCTGTGTGTATGTAGGAGTGTGGAGTGTGCCAAAGTGGCACCAAAAGTTAACTTTTGCCCATGATTGGATCGGATTCGGCCAAAAACCCAGCTGGTTTAGGTCTGGTTGGTTTTTTGAAAAAAGGCACCAAACGGTTCTGTTTGGGAGAAGAGCAGCTCTTGTTGTTCTTAATGAACATCAGAGGAGCCGAATTCGTTTTTGTGACCTTGAAATATGAAATAGAATTGGTCAGAAACGTTGTGTTGTATTATTTGGCTTTAGGGATTCGGAAAGGAAAAATGACAAACCTGCATTAATGGCATATCTTATTTATTAATAGGTTCAAACGAAGGTCCTCACACAAATATTGTAATCTTAATGTAGACGAGCAAAGAAGTTAGGTATGGTGGTATAAGTGCCAGTGGATTTGTTTTTATGACCTTTTCAACTTCAAGCAACTAAATAAATTTTTTACCTATGGCATCTGACAGACGACTCTATGGTCCATGACCAAATCACCTCTCATGTTTGGAGGAGATATGAGAAAGCTTGATGAAATAACATTCAATCTCATCACAAATCCTATTCTACTGGAAATAAATTCCTTCAGCTCAAACACTATGGAGGCAAGAAAATTCATCTACTGCTGCATACTTCTTTGGAGGAAAGATAAGCATGACAACATCATTAAAATACTACTTGTATGTGCATTAAAATAAGGTTCATCTACTTGTACGAGTAAAGAAGTTAGATTATTTAGAATATTGTTGAATTATTTATAATATTATATTTATTTAAAATTTTAGATTATGTTGGCTTGAGTTTGGGCTCAGACGGGTATAGGAGAAGCGAAGACAGGGCAAGGATTAGAAATTTATCCTCAAATGGAGATGGAGATAAAATTATACCCGTTAACAGTGGTGGACCGGAGATGGACGAATTTGTTTTAAACAAGTACGAAGATGGAGACTACACCCCTGCCCCCACTATGGGTTGAAAAATCTCTGATCGGGCCAACGGTTATTGAGGCCTAAACTAATTTATCATTTTTTTTTAATTTCATTCCCGTCGTACGATGATTTCAAACATTTTCTCCAATATTATTATTATTTATTACAATTTTTTTCACAGCCAAAATATAAAATAATAATAAAGATTAATAACACTTTTAATCCTTAAAATATATAATTTTTGTTAGTTTGTTTCCTAAAGAAATAATTTTATCAATTTAATCCTTATAATATTCAATTTGCATTACTTTGATCCTTAAATAGACAATTTGTTAAGTGTTTTAAAAGAAATAACCATGTATTACTCTTTCAAACAGTATCATATGTCCAACACGTGATCATTTCATTAAAAAATTAACGATCCGTTTTATGTAGGGACCATTTTTTATACGAATTGAATATTTTATGACCAAATTAATGCTTTGATGACCAAATTAATACTTTGATGACTAATTTGACAAAAAAATATATACTTTAAAAATCAAAAGTGTTATTAACCTCAATATCAATACCCCCATACTTGATTATACCACCCAAAACTTGTTAAACCTTTACGTTTCTCATTACAATTGATTAAAACTTTCATTTATTCACAAATACGAATAAGAAGGTCAAACAATTTGAGAATTACAATCCTTCACAACCACAATATAAAAAACTATCAATCTTCAGGAAACAAATTAAACAACCCATCATTTGTTGAGTTAAATTATCAATCTGATCATTAGTAATTTGAGTAAAAAATTGAATTTTTTTTAAGGTTAATTGTATTAGAGATTCTCAAAATATAAAGTTTGTCTCATTTTAATTCATAATATTTCATTTATATTATTTTGGTCCTTGAAATATTGAATATAATTTTATGTGATTATTTAAACAAATAACAACTAAATTTCTAACGATTTTTTATCATAAACTTGTCACGCGATATCTAAATATGGACAAAAAATAATTTTGATAGCTCTTGACCAAATTTTGGATAACTCATTATCAAAACTATATAATTTTGGTAACTCTTTAACCAAAGTTTGGATAAAAATTTAATCCAGGGTTATCCAATTTTTTTTTTGCTATATTTATATATTACGTGATAATTTTATAATAAAAATTATTAATAATTTATAAACTGAAAGAATTACATAAAAATATATTCAATATATTAAAAACAAACAACATAATTAAAATATTAGCGACAAAAATTGAGGGAAACCTCATTCTTTGCGAACCCTCTAACGTAATTAACCTCTTTTTTATTTGAATAAATTTTTGAGTCCCTTAAACAACGTATCCTTTATTTATAGCATTGTTTACTATTGAACGGTTCTGGTGCGTTGTACTGAATATTTACTCCTTGCATATTGATTGGACTGTGGATTTCATTCTCCGCAGAACGCGTGCCAATTCAACTACAAACTTCACTTCGCATCTTCCCTCAGAAATTCCCNTGTATGTGCATTAAAATAAGGTTCATCTACTTGTACGAGTAAAGAAGTTAGATTATGTTAGATTATTTAGAATATTGTTGGATTATTTATAATATTATATTTATTTAAAATTTTAGATTATGTTGACTTGAGTTTGAGCTTGGGCGGGTATAAGAGAAGCGAGGACAGGGCAAGGATTAGAAATTTATCCTCAGATGGAGATGGAGATAAAATTATACCCGTTAACAGAGGTGGACCGGAGATGGACGAATTTTTTTTAAACGAGTACGAAGATGGAGACTACACCCCTGCTCCCGCTATGGGTTGAAAAATCTCTGATCGGGCCAACAGTTATTGAGACCTAAACTAATTTATCCTTTTTTTTTTAATTTCATGCCCGTCGTACGATGATTTCAAACATTTTTTCCAATATTATTATTATTTATTACAATTTTTTTCACAGCCAAAATATAAAATAATAATAAAGATTAATAGCACTTTTAATCCTTAAAATATATAATTTTTGTTAGTTTGTTTCCTAAAGAAATAATTTTATCAATTTAATCCTTATAATATTCAATTTGTATTACTTTGATCCTTAATTAGACAATTTGTTAAGTGTTTTAAAAGAAATAACCATGTATTACTCTTTCAAACAGTATCATATGTCCAACACGTGATCATTTCATTAAAAAATTAACGATCCGTTTTATGTAGGGACCATTTTTTATACGAATTGAATATTTTATGACCAAATTAATACTTTGATGACTAATTTGACAAAAAAATATATACTTTAAAAATCAAAAGCGTTATTAACCTCAATATCAATACCCCCATACTTGATTATACCACCCAAAACTTGTTAAACCTTTACGTTTCTCATTACAATTGATTAAAACTTTCATTTATTCACAAATACGAATAAGAAGGTCAAACAATTTGAGAATTACAATCCTTCACAACCACAATATAAAAAACTATCAATCTTCAGGAAACAAATTAAATTACCCATCATTTGTTGAGTTAAATTATCAATCTGATCATTAGTAATTTGAGTAAAAAATTGAGTTTTTTTTAAGGTTAATTGTATTAGAGATTCTCAAAATATAAAATTTGTCTAATTTTAATTCATAATATTTCATTTATATTATTTTGATTTTTGAAATATTGAATATATTTCTATGTGATTCTTTAAACAAATAACAACTAAATTTCTAACGATTTTTGATCATAAACTTGTCACGCGATATCTAAATATGGACAAAAAATAATTTTGATAGCTCTTGACCAAATTTTGGATAACTCATTATCAAAACTATAAAATTTTGGTAACTCTTTAACCAAAGTTTGGATAAAAATTTAATCCAGGGTTATTCAATTTTTTTTTTTGCTATATTTATATATTACGTGATAATTTTATAATAAAAATTATTAATAATTTATAAACTGAAAAAATTACATAAAAATATATTCAATATATTAAAAACAAACAACATAATTAAAATATTAGCGACAAAAATAAGGGAAACCTCATTCTTTGCGAACCCTCTAACGTAATTAACCTCTTTTTTATTTGAATAAATTTTTGAGTCCCTTAAACAACGTGTCCTTTATTTATAGCATTGTTTATTATTGAACGGTTCTGGTTTACTCCTTGCATATTGATTGGACTGTGGATTTCATTCTCCGCAAAACGCGTGCCAATTCAACTACAAACTTCACTTCGCATCTTCCCTCAGAAATTCCCTCTCGCTTCCTTCCCAGTCCCATAGACCTCTTATGACACGACCATTCCCGAAACTCTCTCTCTCTCTCTCTACGCCATACTTGTCTCTGCAAAGAATCTCCATTCTCCCCAATCCACCTGTAAAACACCCACAACACCAGAAATTTCCAATTCGTAAAGCAAAACTATGCTTCGTCTCTGTTGCAGAACCACCCGTCGTTGTTTCCACTTCTCTCTCCTCCGCCGTTCATTCTCATCTTCACCGTCTTCTTCTTTAACAAAGCGCAACCCGGAAGACTCCGTTGATTACCCAAACAATTTCAAGAATTCCCAACGTGTCCCTCCACCGCCAATCCTCCACCACAACCCAACCCTTCTCTCTCCTCCTCCCTCCTCTCTCTCTTGCAAGTCCCTTGTCGCTATATCCGCAACCCTAGTTTCCGCCATTATAGCCTCATATGCATTGATTTTACAAAACGACGACGTAAAACCAAGGCAACACAGGTCGAATAATCCAATCTACAATGAAATTGAGCACGCAATTGATTATTCTAATGAGTCGTTCAAGAGAATTGTGCACCGGTTCAAGCAGACCGGTGTGGCGGCTTCGGTATTGTGGAAGTCGTTGAGGTCGGTTTTGTCTTCCGCAAACCATGAGGTTCGGGTGGGGTTTGAGCTTAGGGTTGCGTCGTTTTTAGCCGACATTGTGGCGGCGAATGAGATTAGGAGGGCGTCTATTGTTGGAGCTGGTGGCGGTGCGGTGGTGGATTGGCTTCTGGAGACGGTGGCGGTTTCCGGGGATAATATTGGGACCCAGGTGGAATCAGCCAGGGCTTTGGCGTACTTGGTTGCTGATCCGAACGTGTCTGAGAAGGTCCTTGGGAGGCCTCACGCCGTTCCCAATCTTCTAAGGTTCATTTTCTCTGCGCAGCCTCAGAAATCGAAAAAAGTAAGTCTTCTTGAATTTTTTGCGGTTTAATTTAGGGATATTTTGTTTGAATTGTTGTAGAAATTATAATGCTTGTTAATTAAATCCTCATTGATCAATGCTCGTTTATGAATTACTGATTTCTTGAATTCATCGTTACATTAAGTAAAACTTGTGGAACTTAAGGTAGGTTGGGTAAAAATTTTAATGGTGTTATCGGTGAGTGGATTGTTCTTGGATGCGGTGTTTGGCACATATTTGAGCACATTTGTCGACATATGACTGCTAGAAAGAAGAAATGAACATTTTCTTTTATTGCGGGGTGAGGCATTTTGTGTTCTTGAAGTACTATAATACATTAAACGAAATTTGTTCCATTTTCGGAATCAATTCTAGCTTCTTGATTGAAGTTGTTGTATATGTTACAGCGTTCCCTATTTTCATTGTGATCACATTTGAGTGAACATCACTAAAAGTGCTTAGTGCTATTCTTTTAGTGCTTCTTCTGAATGTATTAAATCATAGAATATATTTTTCCGCCCTCAGAGATTAGGAGAGTATTACTTGAATTTTCATTTATGATTTTTGGTAATCCTTTTTCAAAATGTTTTTCATTGGCATTGATATACTGCATTTTTGTGCAAGCAGCAAACAAGACATAGTTCATTCGATATTTCTGATTCTTTGAAAGGTAGGAGCATGCTTGTTGCAGCTATTATGGATGTTGTCACTTCCAACTGTGACACCGTAAACAAGGTATCATTTAAGCCCTCGCTGCCCAGAAATGCTGAAATGAGGGATATTGCGGCAGCTATTGAAGTCATTGAGGAAGGTGCCATCCATTTGGATGAGACACAAGGGAGTGAAGAGGATAAAGATGGTGGAGAAGGAATGAGGGGCATTGGAATCAAAGTTCTTGGAGGTACAACAGTTTTGGGCCTTTCGAGAACTGATGCACTTGTGGAGATGGAGCACTCTGATGGCAGTCACCTAACCTCAGTTAAATATACACCTAAAAATCTTTTGTTTAAGAAATTCAATGACAGTTTTTCAGGACAAGAAAATTTGTCATCTGCTGTTGTTCCTGGCCTCTGGGATGATTTGCATTGTCAACATGTTGCTGTGCCATTTGCTGCATGGGCGTTAGCAAACTGGGCAATGGCATCAGAGGTAAATAGATCTCATATTCAGGAACTGGATCGAGATGGACATGCTGTCATGACGGCTTTAACAGCACCAGAGAGATCTGTGAAATGGCATGGAAGTTTGGTGGCTCGTTTGCTGTTAGAGGACCATAATCTGCCCTTGAATGATTCTGTTTCTGAGTGGAGCTCTAGTCTTCTTTCTACTGTTTCTCAAGCAAGTAAAACTGAAGACATATCTTTGGCTCAAATGGCTTTGTCTGCATTTTTGGTCTCTATTGAGAGAAGCCCTGGGGCACAGGAAGTAGTAATGGAGAAGGGTCTTCCTCTGATGAGAGAAACTGCTAAACAAACAACAAAGCATAAGCCTGTACAGGAGGCATTGGCAAAGGCTTTGGAATCACTTTGTGCAAGGAACTTGCATTTGTCTCTTGAAGAAAGTCAAAAGTGGTCAGGCATTCTGCTTCCTTGGGTTTTCCAAAAACCGTCGTCTGACATATTGCTATCTTCAGCAACAAATATTCTTTCACATATTCTTGAAGATTACGGGCCATCTGCTCTACCAATTTCTCAAGGATGGTTGGCTATTATGCTAACGGACATTCTTGGTGCCAGGAAAACTGCATCAACCAAAGGAAGCTCTCAGCCTAAGAGTGACAAAGTGAAGGTTTGTAGGTGCATCATGAATTTTCCTTGGAGATAGCTTTGAATATAGAAATTTTTTATCATAATATTTCTTGTTTGGTCTATTTAGTATGTACAAGTAGAAATATATATTATCAAACTATTTATCGCAGGGGTATTCATGAAGCTATTTGATTTTTGCAGACTCAAATTGATCAGTCGAACATAATTTCCGCTACACAGATTGCTAATCAGTTGGCAGGTGCTGTTGTTAATTTAGCAGGAACCCAGATGGGAACAGCCACTGATAATGATGAGACATTCCCACTTGCAGATCTTCTTTCTCTTGAACCTTTTGCAGGACCACTTAAAAATCTGAAGAAAGATAGTCTTCCTAAATTTGATGCTGCAGATTCCGCATTGGCCACTCTGAAGGGTATTAAAGCACTGACAGAACTCTGTGCTGAAGATTTTCTTTGCCAAAACAGGATTGCTGATTTTGGGGTCCTGTGCTTGCTAAAACGCTTTTTGTTGGGAGATGATTATGAACAACTAGCTGCAATCGAAGCATATGATGCATCACGAGACCTGGAAGCACAGGATCGAGGTTCAGCTGTGCCCAGAGAATCTTCTGTTGCTGAGTCTAATGATTCTTCTAGAGTCAGGGTTCCACCTACGGCTCACATTCGAAGGCATGCAGCTCGGCTGCTAACTATTCTTTCTGTGCTTCCAAAAGTTCAGAAAGTGATCGTAACAGATGAAGTTTGGTTTAATTGGCTTGAGGAATGCGCCAAGGGGAGAATTCCAGGTTGCAACGACCTTAAAATTCAAAGTTATGCGAAAGCAACACTGTTAAATATATTTTGTAGTGACCAAAATGGCAGAAATCCTGCTAATGATAATGTTCTGGACAGCAGCATTATGAACACAAATCATACCTGCCCTCATTATGCTGACATGATATTTTTAATTAATCCTGAATTGCCGCACTGGAAGTGTCCAGGAAAAAAAGATCTAGACATCACTAGTAAGAGACCCACAGAGAAGTCAGACGATGCTAGTAATTCTGTGCCAGGTAATGATGATTATTCCGTTGCGACTGAGGACGGACCGTTAACCCGAGCTGCCCATGATGATAGCTCATCTACTTCTACTAGCGGATCTGAAAGCTGCTCACAATCAGAGTTCCCTCCACTGGATGTTGTCTTTGTTCATGGCCTGCGTGGTGGGCCTTTTAAGACTTGGCGCTTATCTGAAGACAAGTCATCAACCAAGTCTGGTCTTGTAGAGAAGATTGATGAAGAGGCAGGGAAGCAAGGAACATTCTGGCCAGGAGAATGGCTTCCAGCTGACTTCCCTCATGCTCGCTTGTTTAGTATCAAATACAAGGTCGTTCTGAGAACTGGAATCTTCAGTCTTAAACCTTAATGTAATTTTAATTTTGGCTTATTTTATTGTTGTTGAAGTAATTCCTCGCGTCGCAACAGTCTAGTCGCTGGAGTTTTTATTTTATTACCTGGGATGTGTCCTTTGCATTAACATGACAGTGTCTGGCTCTACTTTAATGTTTAATGCAGACGAATCTTACACAGTGGTCTGGAGCAAGCTTGCCTCTTCAGGTTGGCCTTTCTTATTTGACTACTTATCAGTGTTAGAACAGATGTTGCTTGGATCCTAAGGCATGCTTCATCCCTTGCATGCTGACCGTTAAAGTAGAATGTTTGAAAATATTTTGGGAACTGCCTAATATTATGGTTAATAACAATCTAGTTTTGATTTGGGTCAAGGGGTGACAGTAAGATGGTTCTTTCGGTTCTTTCTTAACCAGACCTCATGGTTTGAATATATGATCAAGTCAATCTTTTGACACTTCAGTCTCAGCTTTGTCATTTGACTAGTTTGGTTGCTTTGATCTGCCGAAGTTGGAGTCTATTATATATTTTATTTCTTCAAGGTCTTGTCATGTTTTTCCCAAATGCATTGGTCCCATCTCTTTATGGTTTTCACTAACATCTTTGTCTTGTCAAGTTCACGTATGTGATACTTCAATTCCATGCTTACATAGACATCATATGCCTGAAATTTATGCTTATCTTATTATTCATCAAATATTCAAATTTTAGGTTTCCGATGATTTTTCCAATGTCCAATGTCTGACTATTTGAGATTTCTTGAACCCTTCTATTTAAGAGGTCCTATTCTTGCTGCCTGGCATGTAGTTTTTAGTTCTCTACTTCCATAAAAAGTAATTGGCATAACAGGTATGAATCAATATACTGACCGCAATGACTCATGTTCGAGAAGTAGGTGTTAGAGTATTCATAATAAGGGTAGTTTAGGCATTTTCTTTATGTTGTGTTGTCCTACTATATAAGGATTACTTTGTGTATTTCTAGGTTAAGCTGTGTATTACAGACTTTGTTTATGAATAATCTATTCTTCTTTTCTCTTCTCTATTCTCATTGATCAATTCTAACATGGTATCAGAGCTCTTTAAACCCAAATAATAATTTATGATTGAAGACTAGAAGATAACCTAGTGAACTCGCCGTGAATTGACCTGATGAATCCGACTGTGAATACCACCATCAGGATCGAATCTTCTAGGTCTTGGTGGTCTGACTTCTGAGTTTCAGTGAGTCACCGTGGAGGTGGAGTTACCTGGCGAGGTGATATCGTCCTTCACCGACAGGTTGTTGCTGGCTTGGGGATTTCGCGCAAACCAGAGGTTGAGGACGAAGGGATTTCATTTGGCTTGGGGTTTCGTCTGTGAACAGTGGTCGTCCAGAGGTTGAAGACGAAGTCTGAATTTTGATTTCATCTAGCTTGGGGATTTCGTCTGGCTTGGGGGTTTCGTCTGTCAACAGTAGTTTTCGTTTGTGAACAGTGGTCATCCTGAGGTTAAAGACGAAGTCCGAATTCCGATTTCGTCTGGCTTGGGGATTTCATCTGTCAATAGTGGTTGTCCAAAGGTTGAAGATGAATTTCGTCTGTGAACAGTTTCGTCTGGCTTGGGATTTTGTCTGGGTCCGAATTCCGTCTGTTCACAGTGGTTAGTTTTCTTTTTGTTTTCTGCTCTTGGTTTAGACTGGTTGTTTGGATTGTTGCTATTTGGTGTTATTGTTTCTTTGGGCTGCTGAGTTTGAATTTGACTATGGTGCGTATTGATAATTGGTATTACAATGACAAGTGGTCACTCTGATTCACTTCAAGCCATTAGTGTGAGACTAATTGGTGGAAATTATGTTTATTGGGTTTATGTTATGAAAACTTTTTTGTTGGGGAAANCTGATTCACTTCAAGCCATTAGTGTGAGACTAATTGGTGGAAATTATGTTTATTGGGTTTATGTTATGAAAATTTTTTTGTTGGGGAAAGGCATGTGGAATTATATTAGTGGTGATGTACAACCTCCAATTGATATTAATGCCGAAAATTATGTTGATTTTAAGAGTACTTGGGATATCAATAATGCGAAAATTATCACCTGGATTAATAACTCAGTTGATCAGACTATTGGGGTTCATCTATCCAAGTTTACCATTGCTAAGGAAATTTGGGATTATTTGGCCACACTTTTTGTTCAGTCTAATTTTGCAAAGAGGTATCAGGTAGAGCATGGGATTTGAGATACGCGACAAGGGGACAAAACCATCCAAGAATTCTACTATGTTATGACTGGCTTCTGGGATTAGTTAGCACTTATTGAACCCACTGAGTTGAGCACTAATCCAGCATATCGCACCTTCAGAGAGGAACAGAGGCTGGTGCAATTCTTGATGGCATTTAGGGATGACTTCGAGGGACTTCGTGGTTCCATTCTTAATTGTCACACACTCCCCTCAGTAGATGCAGTTGTTAATGAGCTCTTAGCTGAAGAGGTTCGCCTTAAAACCCTTTTTGAAAAGAGTCTTCTTCCACTACCAAATCAGACTGTTTTGGCTGTTCTTTCCAAAGTGGTCTCTAATTCCCAAAACAAATATCGAGGTCGAGTTGCTTTTGATGAGTGTAGTTTCTGTCGTGAAAAGGACCACTGGAAGGCCCAATGTCCAAAATTGATGAACAAGAATGCACAAGGATCTCAAAATCAATCATTTAAGTCCAGAGATCGCCATACAGCGGCCGTAGCACCACCAGTGGATGAGTCAGCTTCATCAGCTCCCAACCTGACTATGCTTGCAAATTAGCTACAGAAGTTTCTCTCTCTTCTTTGTTTAATAATTCTCTATTACACATCATTGCAACGAATTGGCGATGTGCAGGGTGATTAACCCTATAGCTACCTTTCTATATATGTAATCAAGGGTTAATTGTATTAATTAAATAAGTAAAAGGGAGAAAGCAAGTTTATATTATTATTACGGGGTGGAAATTGATATTTTAAAAATTTCAGGGTCAAAGGAAGGAAATTGAAAAGGTTAAAGGACTAAGGAGCAAAAAAGAGAAAATCCAAGGAAGGCTTCACCATCTTGATGCTCCAAGCGCCATCCGAATGCACTAGTAGGCACCAATCCCAAGACAAATAGTCAAAAAAGCATAAAACTACTGGCTTATCACCGTTTGGATGCCACTAACCACCGTCCGAGTGGTGGTAAATTGCCTTGCACTTCCTTGTTCAGCAAGATAGCCTCTCATTGGCTTTCTTTGCCACTAGTTACCACCCAGGGGTTTCTATAAATAGGCCTCCACTCCAAGCATTTGAAGACATTCTCCACTTGAAGAAATCATCTCCAAAACACCTCTCTTAGCCAAAATATCCTTTCTACATTTCTTTTTATTTTTATTCTCTTTCTACTTGGAAGGTTGAACATCTCTCACTTTTCCTAACCTTGTTTTGGTAAGAAAGGTAGGGTGTTTCAACTACACCTCGGGGAAGAGTTGATTTTAGCTCTACTCTTGTATTTTGAAGAAAACACCTCACTTGGGGGAATGCGGTTCTCCCACTTTTCTAACTTGTCAATAGCTATGAAGAGTGGGTAGTTTCTCATTTGTTCTTTAAAAAGGGGAGAAGACATGTGTAATCTTACTTGAGTAATAAAAGTGCTTTTTGTTCTTTATTCTTAAATGTTTCTTCCTTAAATGATGGATGGTTCTTTCCTTTAATGTTTAGTAAATTTTATTACTTATGTATAACTTAGGTTATGTTCATCGTTATGCAAGTACCGAGCTAGGTTTTCATGTTTATTTCCATTACATATATGTTATTTTATGTACGTAAATGCATGATGCAATGACTTACTAAGCTAAGTATCATGCAAGGAATGGGAGATTGGGTATAGACGGGTAAAGTCTCGCCATATTCAATGTTTTTGATTCTAAGTATAATCCGAAGCTATGTTCTTCATTATATCATAAACCTTTTAATCAAGTACCGAAGTAAACTATTGAATAGTTATTTACACCTTTGGGTTTTACTATGGTAATTGATTGTTGTATGGTTCATAGACCTTCCATTAAACCTAATGGTTACTATTTTATGATTTAATATATAAATATCTTCCGATTGACTTCCTGTTGACACAGGAGTTAATTGTGGTATGGTGGCACTTTCATAATCTTAAGCTATGGCACTCATGTCCCGATCCCCCAACTAAGGGCTCCTTTTTAATTTGTTGGAAAAAAACTTATTTTTTAAGAATTTTATTTTTCATTTACTAAGCTTTCTAGGTTTCATTCAACCTTTTTTGTTTAAGTTTCCAACAGATAACTCCCTGAGAAATTGACCTTGGAGTTCGTCGAGAAATATTATAACTTGAGCACTTATACTTGGGTGTGTATGATAAAGATCAAGTCATAGGGGTAATTCTTTCATAGAAGAAACTTGCCAGTTGCCAAGGTTTGAAGCCATGAAGGTGAACGGAATTCAATAGGTCTTTAAACCTTTCCCAGCAATCATAGAACTGTTTATTTGATTTTTCAAAAAAATTTTGAATTTGCTTATTCAAAGTAGTAGTTCTATGAACGAGGAAAAATTTCATTAAAAACACGTTTCATAGACCAGACCATGTAGCAATTGTACAAGGTTTCAATGAGTTTAGCCAAGACTTTGCCTTTTCTTGAAGTGAAAATGAGAACAATTTCATCCACGCAGCCTATTCACGCACATTTTGTTCAAGGAAAGTACCAACCACTTCCTCGAATTCCTTGATACGAAAATAGGGGTTTTTCCTATCCACACCATTAATTTGGGGAGTAGCTAGAGCATTCCAGGTTTAACAATAAAAGCACATGTCTATGCCAACAAAAGTATACAAGAAGGTGCAGAGGAGAGAATGGGTTGGAGGTATTTTCTCATTGTCTTCACAGGAGGAACCTGTGGGAGATTATCTTCAACATTCCCAGAATTGAGAACGGGAGAAACTAGGCAAAAATTGTTTCCATGGTTCCCCATATTATGTGGATTTTCATTGTTCAGGCCTTCCATTTCAACAGTGTTTGTCGGGTTGAGTCCTAGAAGTCTATTGTGAATAATTTCTCATGCCCACATGCAAAAACTAAAATATAAACAAAAACAAAAAACCAGTAAATTAAAAGTAAAATACAATGGAGAACGCACCTGAGCTTGTGATCAAATCACAAGACTTACATGAAGCTCGTCCAAATCACCTCTTTGAATCAAAATGCCTTCCTCGACAACGATGCCAAAACTATTTGCTCTCTTGAAAGTGGGTCAAATTATCAAATATTTCCCAAGCATAGAAAGTGTATCGTCTTTGTAACTCAATTGATTACTGATGTCGTTTCCTCAAGGAAAATGATTGCTTCTATAAGACTCTGTACTAGAATTAAATAAGAATAATATCATATTAATATTTCTCCTAGGATGAATAAAAGGATTGCAGAAACTTCGAATTGTTGTAAAAAAAATAATCATGAAGTTTTGAGTTTCAGATGAATTGATTTTTGAGTCNCTTCGAATCGTTGTAAAAAAAATAA